TTCATTTTCTACATATCTTTGTTTAATTACTTTTCTCATATTCTTTTGAGTTTCTTCGCCAAAATAAATTATTAGGAATTTGCCCTTGAACAACATTGAGTCCCACTAATGATTTCCAATCAAATTTTTAGAAGTATTTACAGGTTATTTACCCGCCTGGGCTTGCACACTGAGATCTATTAATTGATAACAGACAGTTGGAGACGTTGCTTTTTCCTAGCTAGAACAACCTTTAAGACAGATCCATTCTATTTTGAGTCAGCCCGCATAAAATCTGCATGAATTACCTGGCTCCAAGTCCTATATATGCCTGGATGTACTGTAATAAATAAGCTAACACTAGTACTTACCTAAAGACTTGAGAAGCTTTACATCCTGCTTGTACTTGTGATAACTATCGCAGGCAACGTCTCCATTATGATTTCCCCATACTTTTCCCGGTGTATGAGAAAACGTGTCCCAAATGTTGACACCCTTACCATCAGCATTCCAAGCACCTTCAATCTGATATGCTGAGCTTGCGCAACCCCATATAAAATCCTTTGAAAACTCACCTCGAAATAACTCTGCTTGACTTACGCTCATGTAGTTTGAACACAGAGCTAAGGCAAGGATAAGTGTATGTCTTAATGCCATGACTATAGGTTTTCTTGCAGGAATGCAGTGCAGTGTGGTACCACCTACCGTATTTACCGCCTTATCACCTCCAGTAATTTCAGTAATTTTTTAAATAAACTGGCGACTTGTAATAGCCTGGCAAGCAGCACTCTGTACAATGAGCTGGCAGATGTCATGCGTCACGCCTTTGTAGCATGAAACCAAACCCCAGACTCCGCGCGTTCAATTCTTTAGTTTCTAACATTAAATGGAAATGTAGAAAAGCTGCCTATATTTTCCATAACACCAACGGACGTGGTATTTCATTTCCAAAGCGAGTGGTATTTCATTCCAAAAAGTGTACGGAGGGATGGCTGCATGCAGACCCAACTTAAAAATCAGGCATTTTTCTTAAAAGTCGGGCAATTCTACTTACTGAAATTGGGCAAATGATGAAAAGGACGTATAATAGTCGAAAACAGAAGAAATATGCAACGTTGTATCGAAAATGGCGGATCTCCAACACCCCCGATAGAAATTATGGGAAGTTTAGGACGCACAAGATTTCTGTGTTTGTCAGACAATTTCGACGGATGCTCATACGAATCTTGTCCGCCTCCTTAATATTTTTCCACTCGTACGCCTATAATATATGTCCAACTGTAAAGCCGGCTAAGTTAAATCTTTGTGCCTTTTAATTGTCGAGTTGTTCATATTCAGTGTAATTCACGAGAACTCAACCTTGAACTGAGCCATCCGACGGTTTGGCGGATTTTAAACTAGAGTCATTGACATTGGACAAAAAAATATTTAATTCAACACGCAACAAAGTTCAGAATCCGTTACCGTTACAATTCGTTGAAAATCAGTTAATTTAAATTAACGAAATTGTTTGAAATACCAGATAGAGTAGTACAATGTGGTGCCCTGGAGCGTGTACAAAACAAGTGCACCGCAATGAGCGCGAAAACAAACTATTTTTGGAATAAATATCAAGGATTCCGAACAAACTAACAGACTGACAAATTGACAGACGAGTATAAAGCGCGATGCTAAACTTCTTTGGGCACTGAAATAGAGACCACTCGACGAAAGGCCGCGATGTATTTTGAAAATCGTTTCCGCTCACGCTTTCTCCTCTGCAGAGGCTTTTAGAGGATTACATTTTAGCGGTTACTTCTTACCTTGTAGCGAAATTTCGAATATTGTTTTCCAAATTAATCCTTTAAAAGCCTCGGCAGAGGAGAGAGCCTCTCAGGTGTATATCTAAGTCACCACAAGCCTAACCCTGAGCCTACAATCCGTTACATATACTGTATAGCCTGTGTAGCTGGCGGTTTTGAGGCGTGAGCAGCGAAAAATGAGGGAGACGAGGTGCGGGAAAGGCGCCGAATAACACTAGTATTTTCGCTAGTTTTATATCTCTTGTATAATACCTCCCCCATCCTCCCCCTCACCCCAATAGAAAATTATCGGATCATCCTTAAAGGTTGAAACGTGATCTGAATCCTCTCTTTATCATTCCGTGCATATTGACGAACATGAAATCGTGAAACATTCGTTGACGTCAATGACATCATATACGTAACCGGTAAGCCATATGAGTCATGAATTTTACTGATGGAATTTTATAGGAATTTTACTTGTAAGTTGTGACGTTAGTGAGGTTTAAGAGGTGATTTCGTGTGCTTGGAAAACGTGATTTACATCACAAATCGATTTATTATTTAAGCCCATTTTTGGGTGAATTTGTTCGCGCGAAGTGAAAACCAAATTTCGGCAATGTGATTGGTCAGCGAAAAAATTCGCCGCGAAAAAGTGGGATCAGTTTCTTTTACCTGTCAGTGGAAAATGGACTTCGGGACGCCATTCTAGTGATTGTCATTGTACTTCCTGTTAAATATTTGTTTAATAGTTCGATCCCTCGGAATAATATTGATTTTCGAAAGTAGAAGGGTGCTCAGCCCCGCATTTTCGACTACTTTTTCGATTATTCGCACTATTCGTCCACCATTCGCGGACTATTCGTACTATTCGTCGACTATTCGTACTATTCATCGACTATTCGTACTATTCATCGACGATTCGTACTATTCATCGACTATTCGCACTATTCGCTTCACAATTCTAGTTTTATTCTTAATTTAAAAAAAAGGTCAGGAGTAGTAAGACATTGAACCAAGAATTTCCAAAGGTTATTTTAGACTAAATTAACAAGAAATGAGATATGTGAATTTATAAGTTGCTTTCCACCAATTATTCAGACGTGATGGATTAATGCATAAATGGACAGATAAACAGACAAAGCCATTTCCGTGGCGTGATACCCATCAAGCCAATCACAGCACTTCTAGAAATATTACAAGTCAACTCAATTGATGTCTCTTCAAATATTGTAAACAAAAATCTTTGTGGAAATTTATAATCCCAAACAATTCAATGACATTGATTCAATGACATTGAATTGTTTGGGATTATAAATTTCCACAAAGATTTTTGTGAATGTGTCCAGTCATATAGATTTATTCCGACTGATTCGTTATTTGTTTCTTGTCATGTTCTGAGTTGAGGCGGATCCAATTTAATTAATGTCGGATAAAATTAAGTAAAGGTAGTTTTAATTCGCTAGTGGTTGGAAACTTTATCGTATTGAGCTAAATTTAGTAGCATGATCTAATTACAAGATGTCAGCCTATTTAATATATACTGATATAGTCAAGAAGTTCAAAAGTAGTAAAAAGACTAGGGTAAACAAGATGGTAAACATTCACTAAAATATATGTCTATTCCAAATTAAAAAAATCATTTAAACAAAACAATAATTTTTAGGCAGTAATATACAATAATACGTATACTATTCGAATGTTTGACGAGGTCTGACGAGAGTCGATTTGAATATGTAATTAAATATGATATATTTTATATCATAATTGTATTCTTTGTACTACCTTTATTGGTATTTTGTTTGGAATAAAGATTATCTAATATGTATACCAATGACATTGACCGATTCCAAAACTATAGCCGCCACAATTTTGTATTATTATATATTTTATGCATTACCAGGCAAATAAACAATTTTCAACATTTAAAGCTAGCGCAAGAGTTCACGATGTAAAACAATCCATGCAAGCGAAATTAATATTTAAAGCCCTTTGAAGTATCATGCCATCAGTAATGTCAAAAGTAACTAACAAAACTAGGCTAGTCAGGCTTGTTTGCTGAATCTTCGGTACTTTTAATATTTACACGAGAGAAATAAGAGAATACATGATATTGTATTTAAATTTTTAACAAAACTGTCAGTCTTGAAGTATTATATAAGGCGGCAGTGATTACGTCGGTTGAAATTAATTTCAAGTCGGAGAGAAAAAAGAATGACCACCTTATTCGATTCGGTCTATCAGTGATATTCCTAGAGATATTTGGCCTTTGCAAAGAATGTGGCACTGGATTCTCTAGCATGAACATTTGTGACTTTCCTATTGCGAGACAAAACAATCCATATACTAATCACTCTTTCACATAATATATAAATTACAAACCACAAGTATCAAGCGCAAATTCTTGCGGAATAATAACTAAACAAAAGAGGAATAAAAAGGGAACACAAACTACCAATTAGGGAAGAAAATTTTGTTACTTTTGTGTGTGTGTGTGTGTTGGTGTTATGTACTCAGGTGAATATGATGTCGGTTTGTGGTGTTACTCTGAGCGTGCATCCACACCGGGCAAGCTGAAAAGTTTGACTCACCACGGTGGTCAGGCAAACTCAGTTTCAGCTTGTCCGATGTGGATGCACACTCAGAGTAACACCGCGAACAAAATATATTGTTAGTTAACTGGGGTGAACACCAAACATGCAAAAAATGAAAAATTGTTGCCCGCCCCTACCGGCTACATACATAAATAACCAAAATGGCGGCACAACTTGCAGGTTTATTAAATAAACTACGATTTTCCAAGTTTGTGTTAAAATAAAGAATGTAAAAGAGAAAAGTGCAAAACAGGAAATGCCGCTGAAACCGTTTAAGTATAGGTTCTTTTAATTTTAACTCGTTACATTATACAGGTTTTGTCTGCATAAAATACAATTGTTGTATGAATGTTATTGATTTTTCTTTCGTCGCTATATAACAAAACACTTCAATGTATGTTCCCTCGTGGAATAGTTTTGAGACTCTCGTGAAAACAAAACAGATTTTTCTATAAATACTCTTATTATACCGAAACATTTACACCCCAATTAAAAGTGCCATTGGATCGCCTGTGCCTAAATTGTAAAACGTTGCGTTGTTCAACCCAGAAATCAAACTAATTATGAAAGTGTTTTTTTGTTGTTGTTTTTTTACTTGAAGAAGTCTGCCAAGTTTTTGTACCCCACTTTAACTAGTACTCTTTCAGAATCAACTAGAACAAATATAGGTCCATCTAGCTGCACTTGAGAAAACATGAGCGTCTTTTGAATTTCATATTCGACAGCGAAGTAACAAGTTTAGAATGACGTGGATTTTTCACACAAGAAGAAGAAGAAGGACAACTTGAAGGCCAAGGACAACTTGGAGGACAACTTATATAAACCAAATCAGGATGAATTATAGGAAAATTGAAATTTATTTCTTTGTTTTCCATAATACATTTGAATAAAAATAAATAGCATCCATACTAATTATTTCAATATACATACAATCATCTACAAATTCGTCGTATAAATCTCACTCTTTCAACTCACACGCTCGGTACACCCTCTCACTCGTGGCCAGTTTGGCCGGCGCTGTTTATTCACACATTCTGTTTGAATGTATATAAAATTTTATCACTTTGTGGACGATGGTGAAATATTTACAAATATAACGATCTCAATACAAAATAACATTTGATTTGCGCTTGCGCAGCGTTCATAAATAGTCTATATAACGGGACGGGAATTGCCTAAGATGATGGTCGGTGGTCAACGGTCATCATTTGGTAAAAGTTCATATTTCTCTATGGCGAAGATTACGCGTAGTAAGGTAGACCTCGTATTGGTCCACCGTACATATGCTGTGTTTGTGGTGTTGGCCCCCTTGCCCAGTATTGGCTTGACCAGTATTGTCCGGGGCTTGCCGCGCCTGGATAGAAGGACGTACTAGCGAAACCAGGGTAGAAGTCTGCGCCGGGAAACTTGTACACAGCTTGGGCGTGAGCTTGAGCGTCGGATGTGATAGGTTGATTGAGCTGGGCTAAACCGTGAAAGTCGAATTTATACGCGTATCTTTTGCCATGGATCTTCGACATGATGTTTTTGTCGTAGTAGTATCGTAGTGCTCGACTTAGTTTATCATAGTTCATGTTCGGCTTGTTCTTCCTCTCCCCCCAGCGCCGCGCCACTTCATCGGGATCGATTAACTTGAATTCGCCATTCGTCCCTTCCCACGAGATGAAATGAGAGTTTTTAGGATCGGATAGAAGTTCAAGAAGGAATTGCCACAGCTGAATTTGACCACTGCCTGTGTTTGTTTCAGCTCTTGTTGCTAGCGTGTTACCCGGATAAGCACCTTTAGAAAAATGAGAAAACATTAGACCCACGTTCTCAGTACATACATCAATTCTATTTCGTCTTACAAGTTTTGGTTTCTCAACGAGAATTTTCTAAATTCAGCAACTGACGAAAATACGAAAACAAAACAGCGGAAAAGTAGTTTTGTGTTTCGTTTACACGAAAGTCTTTTTTGCGACAGAAAATGAGCGGTATTGAATAACCTTTGGTGATTGGAAGGATACATTTCTAAAGGGAAAATTTCGATAAGAGGATTTCGAACTCTTAGCTAGGTAATCATGAAAGTAACATTTTTTTCATTTCCGGGGCTTTCTTATGCAATTAATAAAAGGTCAGTAAATATTTTAGGTTTCAAGCATTCAAAACTTAGTCTGGCTTAAATATTTGTGCTTTGTTAATATTACGAAACTTGTAAAATACTAGACACACAAAGGAGAAACGAGGGGGAGTGTGACATCTTGTCAAACACATAAAATTAAAGCTCAGTTTACCTTGCAGCTGGGGCGAACTTGTCATACTTCTGCTTGGTACGATCGCCATAGAATCTTTCATGTGGGTTAAGCCTGAGAAAAACACCAGAATATTATATATTGATAAAGTTGTCAGAAGTTTTTTCCGCACTAAAATGAGTGGCGTGTGAGTGGGGGGGGGGGGGTTAAAAGCACCGACTATATTTTAAGAACTCAGATTTAAGCCTTGAACTATGAAAGACTCTCATACTTACGGTTAGTTTGACTTTGACTTTGCGATGACCAGGAGCCAGCCGATCGTTCAGCATTTTGGCTACCGGATGGCCACGATGTAGAACTACGGTCAGTATATGTAGGTGTGTCTATAAATAAGGATAAAAGGAGAACAGGTTATATTTGCGTCAACTGTGAATGTGATTTCTGTACATATTTGGTGCATGTTGGAAAATGAAAAGGACACAAAACAAATACTAATTGTGTAACTAATGCTCAATTTGATAAGCTCAGCAAAAGGGCTCTTCTTAATTAGTCAATGCGCGCAAGTCAATACATAGAAGTAATTAGATTATTCTAGCGCTTGTGGTATTGAGCACATGCGGATAAAAAACAAGACATGACAATGCTATTTTTAAATTCGCCAAAGCGCTTCTGAAGCCAATACAGAATGTTAAAGAGCAATACAGAATGTTACTATCTTCCCCTTTTTGCCTATTACGCATATAATGCACTCAAGATATGAGCCACAGTGCGTTCACAAGTGGCCTCTTTTCTCATTGTTTTTTTTAGACAAAGTAGAAGAGTGCGCATGATAAGTTAGTAATACTCACCACTGCCGGGAATTAAATTCCTTGATTCATAATGAGCAGTTGTATTGTAATGTGAAACTAATAAAATGAATACAAAAGAAAGGTAATGAGAAATTGAAAATAATTGCGAAGTTGTAAAAGCACGGTAAAGCTGATTGAAGGATAAAATAAAGGGGATATTGTCATATATATCATTTGTTAAATAGCGACTATTTTGAATAGGGTAATATAGTATCGAGTTCGAGTTCAATAAAAGAGTAGTAACGAGACTGTTTTGATATTTGAATACAAGGTACATTCATATGTCAAGTCTGACAGTAGATGAGTCATACCCCGACATATTTTGGCGAGGGTCGGGATTGGGTGGGGGTTTGAAGAGAAAGGGGAGGGGGTCTCATAAACTTCAAAGACCACCGACAACTAAACGTTAAAAAGAGCTAACGGTTCAGAGCTGTAAGAATGAGGTTTGAAACCAACAAACATGGTAGTATAAGTTATAATTCATCATAAGGTAGTAACCAAGCCCCATGTCTCAATTTCACATTATAGCCCAAGACAAAAGTTGACTACATGTGTCGAAATTAAAACGGTATAATATTACAGTGTGCATGCAAATAAGGGCAATGGAATTTTATATCTGGTTATTCACTTAGGCAATCAACTCGTGATGACAAACGAATCGTCAGCAGGCGGTAAACAGCTCTAAAGCTCGAACAACAAGCTCTTGTGTCAGCACTGCGGGTCACGGAAGGCCGACAAAGATCTGGCTCCTAATATGTGAAGATAAACACACCCAAATGACCGCAATGACCTTTTGAAGAAGATTCGCAGCTGGAGGCTTAACTTGTTCAAATAAAATACGAATTAATGACATTCGCCGAGTAATGGTTTCGTGTTTTCAAACTCAAAGAACCTTGATATAGTTGAAATGTTTTTCAAAGGGATCCATAACAGATGTATACAATGATATTTAATTGACATACCTGCGTAAGATGTGCTCGAAGCGACGGAAGGCGCTAATGCTCGATCAATATCCTCTGAGGTGAGGTTTGGCAAGGGCGCTGAAATTGAATGAAAAACAAACGTTTAATCATCTTACGTGTTAGGGTCCTAAGAAAAAGAGTTTTCGGGGTCGGAAAGTCGAGATTCACTTGCGTGTACAAAAAACATAGGAATTCAATAATAAAATCTTAAAATAGCCTTTGGCCAGGTGTTTATATTAATCTTGTCGCCACTCCATGGGTAGACACAACAGGAGTCCATCAACAACAGCGAGTATGACACCATTGCGCTATTGATTTTCAGCAATAAGAGTTAAAATTTCAGGAGAAACTACATTCAGTTTTCCGTTTTTCACGCTTTAAATTCGAATTCATTTTATGAACAATACATGCAATAACCGCAATAGACCCACTTTGGTAGACAACAAATTTAAAATCTGAAAGTAAGTATGAACTGTAGGAAAATCTATAGGTACACTCGTGCGGCTACTCATATTGCAATAACATAGGCTTTGGTCAATATTTTTCCCCCGAAGGGTTGGAATGGAAATGAATTTGCGACAATCCTATTCAATGAAGCAGAACAGCTAAATGACTTGGCAAAGACCCAAGGGTGCCAACAATTACATAATGATCTTACTTCTTCGTAAAACACAGAGATGAGCCATCAAAATATCTCCGTTGTAAGCGGGTGCTAATTTTAAGAAGTCCTCTCTTGTTAACTTGCACAATTCCTTGCCGGTCATCTCGAAACAGTCGACGTCGATGTCGCGAAGACTGAATTCTTTGATTGCCCATTGGATCCATTGCTTGACGTGTTCTTTGGTCCAGCACATAGGATCTGAGGGGAAATAGAACACACGACTGTATTACACTGTCTGTATAATAACATAAATTGAAAATGAAACATTTCTAGGTTGTTCACATCACATATCGAGTCATAAGAACATGTGTTTTTCGTTTAAGTTAGGAAAATAAGTAAATTGGATTGCATTGAATGGATTTCCAAAACAAGTTAGGGGGTTAGTGATATTTAGTTATAATAACCCTCTCGCTGCTCTTCAATGCTGGCTTCAAATTATCGTAAGAGGGCATTTTTAATATTATTTAGGTTTTCAATTATGTGTATCTCATTGTGTGAAAAATCGAGTAGCGCAGCTTTTGTAACAAGTTTCTTTAAAATTTTCAACTTAACAAAATTAGTTAATAAAATTAGTGTACTGAAGAGACGGCTATGTAAAAAAAAACCCGAAGAAAGCGATTCTCATGAAAGTCAGACAATCAGTTCAACGAACTGTGATTTTAAGTTTATAAAACGTTTGGCAAGGCCAAGAGGGGAAACGGTTTTAATATTTTTCAAACCATAAACGCTTACCCCATGGGGTTTGAATATAAAGGTGTGTTTTGGTAGGAAAACAGAATGGAAAGATATAATTAAAATCCTTGCCAGAAACAGTAGCCTGGTTGGGTGTTTGTTGACCATTGTGTGGTTTAATTTCGTCAGAATAAGGCGGCCATGATGGCTATTTTATATGAACAGCACGAAACTAAGTAAAATTGACATTCGAATTTATTAAGTAAACTGTCAAGGGAAAACGCTTCCTTTCACTCGAAAGACAATCATATTTTAGATATAGGCATAACAAGTGTACATGCATAGTTATGACGAAATATCCAAGGGAAACCGTAGGGAAAATATAACAAACTTTCAAATGTTTAGTATTTAGTATAAGATGAGGTTAGGGTCATTCGCGCCGAAACATCGTGTATGGTAAAACAGGTGAAACAAGTGGGATTTATACCTGCGGGAACGATGACACGTTTGTCGAAATCTTGACCATTCGGAACGACGGGTGCGGGTGAACTTCGATCGAGAAACTCACTGCTCGGTGCTGTAAATGCGCGCTTAGGACTCGGCGCATCGCGGTCGGTGCTGTCCAAGGAACGCTTGTTGCTTCCCCATGAACCATTATCAACTTTCTGCGATTTCGTTGGCTTAAATGGTTCATAGTTTGAGTCAAATAATGACTGTTCATCAGATATTAGAGCATCCTACAAAATTTAAATGTAAGCCAATATAAATAAAACGTCTACTATACTCAAACCGGTATCTTTAACTTTTAGGAAAGCTAAAAGATTTAGGTTAAAAGTATACGGCCGGCTAAATCTCTCAGACAATATACTGTAGGCCTAATTGTTGATGCGTAGGAATTTTGTAAGCACCAAAAAACTAATTTTGATCTACTTTGAACTTGCGTCTATTTTATTTACAAATCTAAGGTCTACAGAGTTTGTATGCGCATACATTCTGAAGTATCCCTGGCTTTGGCATACGGGCAATGCCTATAAATTTAGCGTGTGGCGTGAGATTGAATAAAACACTACAAATATTGCGCTTGATGACCGATGTTATTTTGGCTATTTATGATAATGTATACATATCTTTATAGCCCTAAAAGTCGAACATCGAAGTCAGTGTAAAATGGTATACAGTCGGAATTCACAAAAGCCCAGGATGTTTAACACAAACTGTGGACGTGGGAATATAACATATTTGAATACGCAGGGGAATCATTCCTATACACAAGCGAATACCAATTACTAATTGGCACTTTGCATTCACAGTTCAAACGCATCGACACAACAGATTACGTACTCATATTGGTTAATGAAAGCGTTGCTAAAATTAAATATCGCCTTTTGTAAAGCAGTAATCCTACGTACACTGCGATGGATCACGGAAGATCATTTGTCCGCTTAATTTTGCTGCAATGTCAACGCTAACCAAACAACGGCTTGGGTTATTCAAAATACGAAGTGATGCGTGTCTTATTTCACGACTGCTTCGTCAACACGACTGGAAGGAGACTTTTGTCGCCCTTCAAACAATCCCAAAACATCGGATTCAAGATTACGGTCAATATATTTAAGATAAAAATGGAACGTTGGTAATCGAGCGTTTGTAGTTAAACCATACACAGTATAACATTCATTCATTCAAATTTCTTAAGCGAGCTTAAATTTCTTTAAATCTGCCAAGATGTCAATTTTGATGTCAACGAACTATCAGATTGCGAAATGGTTTTAATTTTGTTTTCTTTCTGCTCGGGATTGAGCAATCTTGAGGATAAACAGACTTAGATATATTATACATAGAGTGTATGTTTCAGTATACTATAGTATAGGACTTAATGGTATAGGGTTATGCGCGCTCGATTATGGCGCGGGATGATTAGCAATATGAATTTTAACCAAAATAAAGGAAAGTATACTTACATGTGGATAGAGTGATGCGTCTGGTACGACTGGGACGCTTTGCGCTTCGTTCATATACATTGTCTTTTAAATACTATAAAACTAAAAGAGTAATAATGTTAGATATATATTACTACAGGTATATATCACTTGTCAGTACTTGGCACATGAGTGCGCGAAATCTCAGCGCGGCAAGAATAGTAAACTCGTATTTTCTCAATATTCAAAACATGAAGTGAAAGTGAGCGAACTTACCGAGTAAAACGTGATGATTTCTAAAAGGATTTGCGATTTCCAATGCTTTCCCAACGAATGGTTTTATCAGCTTGCGATCACGAAGTGAACAGTTAACTTGATATGACTCTCTTTAGGCACAGCGAGTGATGGAATGTATGAATATGACTAATGATTAATTCAAATGATAATGGAAAATGATTGTGGCTAAACTTCGTGGTACTGAAATTCTTTCGATATATTTTCTCTACTACGTCAGGCGATAGGATATCGCGTGGTTGTGGCTCGGGTGTCTTCCCGTATTTGAGAACCTAACTTCCTTTCACAATTACTAAAGCTGCAATAGTTGTAGAAACAATTTATACGGCCTTCTTAGAGCTAGTGGATAAGATAATTACTCATCGGAAGTGGGCGGTCTTAGATTGACAGATACATTAAGTGCCTGGCAGTCTATTGTCAGTTGTGGCGCGCAGCCAATCACAGCCGAGCAACGAAGAGAACAATCTCTATGCGCCCACGCAATACACACCCAAATACGTCAGTGCGTTTTGCGATGTGATTGGTCGCTCTCTTGCCACAAAGACACAGGCGACAAGTGACTGGTAATTCAACTGACATTCGATTGTAGAGTCCACCAATCGTTGGCCGCCTGCTGTGATTGCTCACAACTAATTGAAATCCCAAAGAAAAACAGCGCAATCGAAAAGGCACTCATTACAATTTCAATTAAAATCAACGCTAGCCGTGTTGTTTTTAAGGCGCCGTGAAGCAATATTTGTCGTTCGTTCTGACCAGTTGGACGCTTCCCGGCAAGACATTTTCGTGATTAATAACAAACGTCACGACGACTGTTCGTGTAAACTTGCACACGCATGATCCATATGTCAAAGCGTTTTCTATAATGAGCTAGTATGTTCTCGAACATCATTATGTAGTACAATTCTATGTTAATATTGAACATGGTCGACGTCAACATAAGAATGTTTAATAGTTCGTCATTTTCCGGGTGTTTAGGTTTAGTTACTGCTATATATTTCAAGGATTTCCCAATCAAGCGGCTGTATAGCTATTTGGGGGAATATTTTTGTTGACAAATATAAATGTCGACTCACTCGCTTATTTAACAAACCGGTTGCCAAACCGGATTGCCACTCTACCAGTTAATTTAACTGCCACTAGTTTGGCTACCACTAAACTGAGAAAGGTCGCGATTTGGTACTCTGGTTTGGTGTATGCCATTTTTCATGTTCCATCATAAATCGCGATTGATGCTAGTGGATTCGTTTAACAGTAATGTGCGTTTCATTCTAAGTATTCTTTTGGTAATCAAATTTCTCCTGAAAAATATCCTTTATGTTGTATCTAACGACAGATTTATGAAATATGATAAAACTATATTATTAGTGGCAAATCCTGTTACTGAGTATCTTATAGTGTCGCCTGAAGCAACGTCAATGATATTTTTATTCCTACCGCGACAAGATTGATCCGCGCAAAATACGGCTTAGATTATAGAGTATATATAATCCTTCCGAGGAGGAAAAATCATTGCCTTTAGGTGAGTGAGGCAACATGGTAGGACGAGCGCGCCAATTGATACAAAGACAAAGTGAAGAAACCAACACATGTGAAACTCCTAAAATATCGAGTGTTAATTAAGTTAACACTTCCATTTTATTTCGTATGTAACATGAACCAACAAACATAAGTCCTCTTAAATAATACGCTCTGCATGAGAACGCTGACATATATGCACCATTTCATTCTAATAACGATTTTCCGTTTTTATCCTTATGCCATTGTAGCCCACTGGCCTATAAGATTTGAAAATTTCAATCACAGTGTTAAATAATGTATCAAGTTGACGAACATGCCGCGGTGCCAAGCTTAAGTTGCTTAACCTTCTCGACCTCCTATACCGTCTTATCAAAGTTTCTTTCTTAATTTAGTTTGTGGCCGGAAACCTTGCGAAACCTGAATGTCGTCTGGTTTTGGCAATCTGCCGGATATATAAAATGCGTAGTCGTTTTGACCGGCTGGATTGGAACGCGCTGAGATATAGAGTTAATATCACGAACTGTAAATAGCAGCAAAATATAGTAGCAACGGGAAACTTAATATTTCTTGCCATTTGGAGAATAAAAGTATAAAACCAAACCCAAAGAGAATGACAGGACAGTTTCAAATGTAAAATTCCTTTTATGACTTTCATTACATTAAAGCTGCATTCGGATCACTCCTTATCGACCATACCACAGTAAAATTGGTGCACTGTCATAATTATATACTTCAGTTATAATTTATTCTGGCAATTTAACTTTCGTAAATTAGATTTTAATTACAGTTTGTGTGAAAATCAGCTGAAAGTGACTGGAATGAAGCAGTGCATGCCATAATTTATCAGTGTGAAAATGAACTGAAGCCGATATTAAAGTTAAACTATGCCGTTCACGTTTTCATTGTTATTAGGCACTAAACGTAGAATTAAAGTTGTGTATGAAAATATAGACAGAAAAGCCAATACTAGCTGTTCAGTACGGCAATATACACGTATGTATATATATGGATGTTGGCCTATATTAGATTGTTGGTTTGAATTTGATAACGGATAAATAAAAGCAGTATTTCGGCACATGTGATCGCATTGTGTTGTGCAAAGTGCAAAAGTTGTGCAGGTTTTAACGGTAACTCCCAAACAGTCATTGAGTTTACTGGCTCATATATGTGTCCTGACTGCTCATGGCATTGTTTCCCCATTCCTGCTACCGACTTGAGCTCCGATACTTATTCATTTCCGCAATATTTACCAAAAGGGACATATCAAGTGGAAATTGACAATGGAAACTCGCGTAATCTACGTAAGGAAACATACAAATGACGTGAATTGTATGCAGGATGTTTAAATTTCTAATTCAGACGTAGGTGTTTTACGTTGGTTTGTCGGAGCAAAACGTTCACTGGAAACAAAGATTTTTGTGTGGTCATTACTGATATTCTTTGTACTGGCAGTTGGCACTTTGATGTTTTCCGCCAACGTCATTGATAAACAATGTGTGTCATACCTGACGTCATGGCTTCCAACTGTTGAGGATGGTCAAAATCGGTCTTTATTGTCAGGCGTTTTCTTTATTTCATCATCACCATCATATATCACAGAAATCATATAAAATAAATAAATTTGAAGGTACAAGGAGCAAAAAACGTCAATATTTTGCCATATGTGTTGAAGCTAGATTACCACAAACTGATACATTTTTTAATCCAGTCGGTCTGTCCCCCTCACCGGGCAATCTGACGTCCTGCATGCTATGATTAATTTTGCAGTTTGAGATAGTACGTTAAAGATAAAAAAGTAGAAATGCGACTATACAGACCAACAATTTCTATAATTAGTCTAATACGAAGAAATAGTCAAAAAAGAAAATTATAGAATTTCAGTTAACTAGAATTTTTTAAATCCGCTGATCAGTCATGACTCATGTTTAATTTCATTCGATTCTCTGTTCAATTGTTCTTGTATTTTTCCATATTAAATATTGAGACTATTAATCACTACGCGTATAAAATTTCTTGATACCACTTATCAGTTCAGCTCTCATTTTGAATGAGGGCACATATAAATTATGGTAGCTAGTGTTTTAATACATTGTCGTCTTTGAAAGGTTTTCATCCTCCCGACTCATGTATAAAATATCTATGACGCTTTTTAAAGGGTATTTTCGTGAGCCTAGAATCGCCGAGAAATATCAGATTTTTGTTCCTGTGAATGTGAAATGACGGGGTTTTGTGACGTGAAACGGGCCTACGGGTGAGCCGTATTGCCGGTGTTATTAACTTATTAGAGAGTTTGGCAATCGACTACGGCAAACAGCAGAAAACAAAAAATTACTTGTATTCGAGCCAAAACATATTACATTCAGTATATTTTAAAAGCATGCACTTATATCTTTCTTTTAAAAAACCCTGAAATTCTCTAAAGCAGCAATACTAAGTGAATTCACATAAAACACCCCAAACAACTTCGGAACGTTTTACGCAGTCAGTTGGCGTGGTCATGATTCGTGAAAATGATGTAAATAACGCAGCAGTTTGAACATTGTCAACTACGGATAGAAAGCTAGGACTGAAATTGACGTCCAGTAGCTCCATCCTATAGCTTCACTATTGGACTCGGGTTCTACTTTCAAAGGTATAAAAAATTTTCGTTTTTTAATATGTTTTTTGGCATAGAGTTACAGTATGGAAACAAATTATGTATGATATATTACTGTTCGAACGTGGCTTTGGCAAACGAAAACTGTTGGCGTGGCCCCATGCATATGGTTTATAAGTTAGTCATTTTCGCCATACCTTGCCTTTACCATCTTTGCATGTGTTGGTCACCTCTTGCCGCTGTGTAAAAACGCACACAGGCAAGCAGGGTCATCACGAAATATGTCATTCAAAACTACCAAGGTGTACTCCCGATCTTCAGAGTTCTCGGCAAGTCCACACTCGCGAACGAGTCAGGTATAAGTGTCTCTGCTTGCGGATAAAGTAAGCGAGAATGCCGTGAGTGGAAGATCACATCACAGCACACTAGAGAGGTACTTCACCACAGAATGAAACTGTCTAAAACATGCAGTTTGGTTACTGTACGTTTACAATGGAGGAAAGAAAATATATTTGACACTTCATGTTACCGTTGTATTTTTGATTTTGGAGTGCAAATTTTTCGACTTGTATATGACTTGTATTGTGTACTTATGTATCAGTAAACGTTAACTATATAGAAATTGAAACAAACTGGACATTTTAAAAGAAAGGAGCCGTAACACATTGTAGTGACATTTTACAGCCTGAAATCGGGTTAGTATTTTCATCGCATCACGGTAAGTACGCGGACACCAAATGACGGTGTCCGCTATTACGAGACGGTTGATCAGTGTATACTCTAACAGAAAGTAAGGGATGGACTCGGTTATAGCTATAGAATTATCAGTTATCAATTCGATCGTTTACGAACATGTTTATGATCATGCATGATCCTGTCACCAATGTGCATGAACTTGAGATATTGACCCAGCTAGTTGCGTTTACGAGCTAATCTCATTCTCATACAAACTATAAGTGACTCAAGTGTATGCTCATCCTTTTGACGCATACGCTATACCGCGCCCATGCAGTTACACGTTTTTTTGATATTCTGCAGAATATTCCTTTATATAATTTATCTGATATAAATATATTAATTTAGTATTAAATGCATAAAATTATGCAGTTGTTCAATGCTCTGAAATGTATAATATTGATATATGCTCGGAGGATGAGATCCACATTTCCAAGGGTAATTTGGCAAATACGCAAAAGACGTTGTAAACTGAATACGTGCATGAAATTCCGTATTAGATTGTCAAAACTAAAAATTCCGTCTTCACGTCACATTTTGGAAGAAAAAAAAATTAATTCCTTATTCCGTTAAGCATGAGCAAACAAAAAATTCCTTATTCCACAAAATCTGTGAAAGAACTTCCCATTTCAAAATTCCGCATACCCTGAATATTCCAGTGGCAGTGAACTTTTACCCGGCGACTATATAATTGTTAAGGCATGCATAGCCTGTTCGCAGTCTGAAATCGGTTCATGCATTGCATGTAGGCGACTGGCAAAGCCTTGAATCAGTATTAAGTCGCATTAAACATGTTTTCTTCTTTTTAACATCGCTTTGTTAATTGTTATTACATGACGGACATTTATTAATCTGATCCATGTACTACGTTTCATAAAACGGTCTGTAAGTATAAGCTATGTTTGGAATGGTAGCTTTCGGAATTTGAGACGTGAGGTAAAAATGAAATGACTACCGGATGTATTTTTTAACATACATTTCGCCCATTTCGGGAGTGGCAAACATGGCTTTCGGGTGTGGCAAAATTTCCGTATTCTATTCTGAATAATAAAGAATATGAAAATGTTTCAAGGCTCTTACCAAATTTACGTATGTAACATCAGATACTTTCATGAGGAAGTTACGGCACACAAAACACTCGGACGTGAGGTAAGGATGAAGTAACTATCGGTTGAACATCCTACATCCGCTAACAGCTGATTTATACGAACTAGCTAGTTTTTTCCGAAACAATTTCCATATATGCAATAAAACTACAGTATAACAAACATAAACTGTTTATAAAATCTAGATTGAGAACAGTTATACAAGTTTTACAAGAGAAAAATATACACTTAATATGTCTGCTCCCGAGAGAATAATAATTTTCCCCGAGAGTCTCAAACATTGAGAAGAAAAATCAACAACATTCATAATGCATTTCATGACTAAAAAAAACTCTTTTATCACAAACTTGGAAAATCGTAGTTTATAAACTTGCGTGTTGTGCCGCCATTTTGTTTATTTGTGTACCGCTGGTCGCCTGCAGGCATAAATTGCATTTATCTAAATCCACGTGGCTACAAATTAGCCAATCACGTTCGCATGGTGTTCACCTTAGCTATATAACAATCATTATTATAGTATATACTTTGTTATATGTAATATTGGAATAATAGTTGTGATTTGTGCCTTTGAACTAAGTTCCTTAAATTAATTGAAATAATAAATTTGTACTGTTGATTATCCTGAAAATATCCGGGCCATATAGGCCTACAAATGAGAAGGTTTTCTCAAGACCGCTGACGCCGTCTAGCTGTAGTTGCCGTACATGCCGTGTTGCTGTTTAGTACACGCGTAAAAATTGAGAAAATCGACAACTTGTTACAAGTTGATATCGACAGGCGTGAATAAGGTTGTGCGGCCCATGAACAATATTGTCAACATGTTGTTACAACATTGTTCAACTGTAACAACTTGGAACAGCATGGTTGACAACTTGTTCATAGTTGGCCGCACAACATTGTTCACGCCTGTCGATATCAACTTGCAACAACCTGTGCGTTTTTTAGCCGTGTACCCTTCTTTACTTTAAATAACAGGTGAAATTTATAATGAACAAATATAACTGTATTGCAGTGTCAGGGCTAGCGTTAGCCCAAAAGTATAATAACCATATCAAAGTTGAACAAAACGTGACTGCTTCATAATTCGTAACTGACTAATTCGTATCACTGACAAAAAATTCGAATGGTCTTATCGGTGCCAGCGTAGGTAGTGACGAGAACAGATAGCAATCTTTATGGGAAATACAACTACAGAAAAAAAAAGCAGAACTTCATCGGAAAGTTAATAGCCTAGCTTCGCTCGAAGGTCGAAGTTATATGCTGATATTTTTCAGGTAGTGTATTTCCTCTAAAGATTAATGCAAAAAATGTATGTTTCAATTTCCCCTTCAAGATCCAGTGAAAATTCACTTTCAACAAACACGTCAAATTTAAAATTCACCATGTGCAAGAAGCACGAAACCGAAACGCTAAACATGGGAAGCTAGGAAGTGCAGTGATGAGTGATGACGATAGTAGATCGCAATTTTAGATATGAGGAAAAGTGCATGTAAGAGTGAAATTAGTGAATTCTCCGTAAATCGAGACACAGACAGCCAGTTAGCCAGAGATTAACCTAGAATCAACGTGCCATCTTTGTACATCATTATTTTCATTGATGAGCATTGTATTACATTGTTTTTGTCTCATTTTCTGCAGGGGGCGGCCAGGCCAATATTAAATCCTCTCTCTTGAATTGTCTATTATGTCGTCCGCACGACATTAGTACTAAGATCCGCTGTGCAGATGCATACATTTGGGAGAACCCATAACATAATGCGTGCAGCATACAAAGTGAAAACTTAAGTGAAAACTTAACTGGACCAAATTCTTGCAATTATTCGACGTCAAAAAAATATCGCCATTTTCAATAGATAAAATCGTATTTAAAGAAAAATTTGAACAAAAATAGCATCAGCGTCATTCATCGCAGCATACATTATAATTGGTAAATGTCAAGGTTCAAATGATTATGTTCTTATGCAATCAACATAAAATTAGCTCAACTGGATTTAAACTCTATAACTTATTAGTATATTCATCGAACTGGGCTGCGCTCTACCAATTCAGCTATCGATCAAGTCAACTGGGGAGAGCACGAGTTCAAATCTATATTAAGCGCACGAGATATGCTCGTGACTTATTAAATTTTAATTTAAAACATTATTGACTCAATAACTTCAATTGGTAGAGCGTCAGCCCGGCTCTGAACATGCGATTCCAAATCCTGCTTGATTCAACTTTATATTGACAAAGCAGTGTTGGGGATTTTCTCGTGCATGTCTGATATTGTATCATGACTGATATTGTATCGATAACTCATAATTTCTTCTAAAATCCATGTAAATTGCATAATTGTCATTGAAAAGCCCATTTTAGGGAATGTCAATTAATAAATTCAATTCAATATTGTATCATGTTTCCCTGATGATGGCTTTGACTGATAGAAATGAGCTCAGGTAGTCGTCAGGTTACTTTTCTGTGGTAGTCGACGGCGGTGCTGGGGAAACTTGTGTTTTTCTCAAGAATATATTGTATCTGAGCACATTTGAACCCAGTGTTTGCGTAAATTACTTTGAATTTGTACTCGAGTAAAAGTAGAAGTAATTAACAATAAAACGACTTGAGTAAGAGTAAAAAGTACTGGAAGCAAAACGTACTTGAGTAAAAAGTACAAAGTATCCTTAAAAAATACTTGAAGTACAAAGTAAAAGTAAAAGTACTATTGTCTGTAGCTTGTAGAGGGGGAGGGGAACTTCTCCAATGGATTAACATACAAAAGACACAAAACAACACACGCATTATATGCGTGCACCGAATATACAATATTTCACGGCATGGTCTACTTTCCAGATCCCATTGAAGATATAAGAAATCCATTAAATAAATAATTCTTATAAGTAAGTCATAAACGAGAGATCCCAGACGCATGTAGAGGTCCTATTACCTTTCCCGAAATTAAAATAGAAATAAATCACGTAAAATTAAACAAAAGTTAGAAAGTAACGAAATACTTCGCCACAAAATGAAAATAACGAAGTAAAACGTTATTTCTTAAAATGACTTCGTTCCAAGTAAATTAAAGTACTCCAGAAAAAGTTTAAAATAGTACTCACGTACAGTAACGAAGTACATTTACTTCGTTACTTGACACCACTGTTTGAACCTTGACATTTACCAATTAAAATGTATCCTGCGTTGAATGATGCTGATGCTATTTTTGTTCAAAATTTTCTTTAAATACGATCTAAATATCATCTTATATATTGAAAATGGCTTTTCTGCTTTAATTGACATCGAATAATTTATTGAGTTGCAAGAAATTGGTTCGGTTACATTTTGGGTGAGGATCCTCGTTTCACATGTAAAACTCACTTATAGCGGCCACTTGAAGCTTCACGAAAACAGAAAAAAAAAAACATTTACCTGTCTGCAGTAATCATGAGTAATGTTTATTCAACCCCGTGTCACTGCAATTCTGCAAAAAGCTTAAAGGACATATTGGCAATAAAAAATTAGTTTGTTTCATTCAAAAGAACTCTTAAAATAATATATTAAACTCTTACCGATTTGTCATATCTAAGTGCTTAGTTCTTGAAATATTTAGACCGAAAGGCGAAATTAATTCATGTGTTGTCCGCCATCTTGAACTAATTCTTGACCTCATTAGCTATACGGTGTTGATAACGTGACTGAGTTGGGTTAACCATATAAAACTACTTTAAAATGACCAAGTAACAATCCAAAATTGTTTGAAATGTTTTTAATCATTTCTAAATTTCAGACAGCAATATCGCTTACTCGGCTCAAGATAAAAAATTAGCTTGATCACTCTCTTGACTTATGCCGTGATACATATCCTCAGTAGTCCAAGATGGCGAACAGCTCACTTTTTTCAGTCGAAATATTTTGAAAACTAAGCAAGACTAAACAATCATATCTGTAAAAGAGTTTCATATACAGTTTTAAGAGTTCTTTCAAATGGCAAGACTAACCGTTTTTATTACCAATGTCCTTTAAAGTAGTTTGACTCAAAAACGTGAGTAAAACTATAATGCACTGTGACTCAATACAAATTTTTTAGTAAAATTAGTGATTTATGAGCAAATTTTCTCAAATTGTTTCATAGTATAAAGATCCAAATTTACTCAATGTTTTGGCCGTTATTGAAAGGCCGTTATTTAGTGCTGATTTCCCCATAAATTTGAGTATAATACTACTTGAGTTAAGCTGCATGTGCCGGTGCCATTACTGTTGAGCTCAAGGTTTTCATGATCAGTATGAAATGTTTTGCAATGTTCCAAAGTTCCGCTGGAAACGAGGTTGATGTTCACATTGAGTATTTAATGCCAATTCACTACATTTTCAAGAAAAATATTTCACGAAAATTTAACCAACCGATATATTTGATAAAAATCAGGAAAATACACTAGGTAACATTGACCATTGTTTGCTACATCCGAAATATTAATAATTATAGTTTCTTGACGTCATTTCAGTTCGGCCTCAAATAAATAAGTTCCCGTTTCATTCAGACAATGGAGAGTTTGCCAATACAATGGCAATGGCAACGAGAACGTGCTCATCAACAATAGCATCTTTACCCTAACTTTAGTTTGCATTTCCTCAAAGCCTCCCCCCTCAAAAATTCTAGTGCGCATTGTTTTTGTTTACGCCGCGATTACTGCCGGACATAAAGATGCAAGACCTGTGCCGAAATTTCGTATTTTGACTTCGATTTAAAGGCGAATACAATATATGTCTATGGTATTTTCTGGATACGGTCAGTTAGGAAAAACTAGTGGAATTAGCTAGGAAATATGATTTGACTTCATAGACTAGTCATAGATTTTGGACGTCAATTTCCACTGATCTTGACTTCACTTTTCTCATAGATCGATTGACTGAAGTTCTTTCTCCAGGCTAAAAAGTGTAGTATAGTTTATTGTTGTGCTGAATGTGTCAGTGTATGTGTGTGTTAGTTTGAATCGTAAATTGTGAGTTGAGAGTCACGTGTACGCAGAGCGGAGCGTGAATGAATTGTTGATGCGTAATCGTGTTGGGTAATTGTGAGTTTACATCAGTCATTATAAAACGACGTGCACGGCTAAAGAAGTGTAAATATCTGTACTTTATAAATATATTTTAAAAATACAGTCGTGTGAATTCGAAGTGCCTTGAATCGTGAGGCAGCAACGTACCAGCATGACTTAAATCGCACTAATTTACGCGACAGAATATGTTAATCGCGGAATCGTGCAAGTATACTGATATATAGGTAGTCATGCACTTTAACTTTAATTTGCTTGCTTGCGGAGATCCACGCATGAACACATCTCCTATTCTCCTATACAGACGCGCGGAAACGATAAATAAAAATATAGAACTATTTGCAAGTATTACTATACGCGTGGGATTTCATATTTCGCCGCAGGGCCATATATATTTTCCGCATTTTACAACATTTCGCGGCCAAACTTTGCAATTTTATTAATTTTAACATTCTCTTTCGAGCTGTGTTTATAGATTTTGTTCTTAATTCTTACCTAGATCAAAATTTAGTCTATAGTATAGCTGGAATCATCATGTCGTTCAGTTTCTCTCACTAAACATTAATTTAATATCTCAACATTCTCGTATACATTCCCGTCTCGTATACGCGCGCCTATAGTGTTTCACCATTTGCCCGAATGCCTCATATTTTCCAGGTACACAGCCCGCGCTTTTTAATAGACAACTTGCATGTTAGACTAATTTTTGATTTAGGAAAAAAAAAGTAAATTCCCGTAAAGAACTTATTAAAATCAATAAAATTGCAAAATTTGGTTACGAAATGTTGAGAAATACAGAAAATATAGCCTTGCGAAGTTTGTATATTTTCAGTATATTTCAATTACGTGCGGAAATTGTTACCATAGTTGAGCCGAAAATGGTAACAATTTCCGCACGTAATACAAGTATACTGAAAATATGCAAACTTCGCAAGGCTATATTTTCTGTATTTTACAACATTTCGTAACCAAATTTTCCAATTTTACTAATTTCATTATGCTCTTTACTTAGGCTATGTTTACATGTATCGGATCAGTTTTTGTTTCGTTCGCGAAAAATTACGGCCCGAGTGTAAACGGCTTCCGCCCCGCCCATCTATGCCGTCGTATTTTCTTCTATATATTATTAGAATAGTAAGTTGTTGTTTGCCAGATTCCATCCGAGTCACGCATTGAACCGAAATTCCTCCGATTGGTGTTTACATTACAATGAGAGCGTTGCAAAAACCGATCCGATACACCGCGCACCACTTCGAAGAGCGAACCGCCGCACCACCGGTTCGTTGCAGAAATTGAGACGATAACAACATTTCATATGTAAACAGAAGCCCTATCCGGTATGGTTTTTGCGTCGGACGCAAAGTGATCCGATACAATATAAACATAGCCTTAGACTGAAACATGCAAGTTGTCCATTAAAACGCCGCCACGGAGAAGAGCTATAGAGCGCATATATGATTGCCACGTTTTATTTTTCCTCACGTATATATTGCAATTGGTATCAACATCAATCTTTGTGAAGGCTATAAGTATGTGGTTAAAAATTAATTACACCATTGCTGCTAAAATGCCAGGATATAGTCAGTGTAGTACTATAATCACGTAAACTATGTCTATATGGAAATAAATCGCATTTAATAACATTCTATCGACCGATCAGCAAAGGTCATGTAAACGTAACCTAACGTTTTGAAGTAGTATATATCAGTAAAACCTCTCCACTTCCTCGTATTTTGCTTGTCTGCGTTTTCGTCACATTTACGAAATTAGGAAAAGCTTCAACGATCACTCAACGGGTTGGGATTTCAGAAAAATATCGTAAATAAAAGCGTCAGTCCCATTATGCGATCCATCATTCTGAGAAAATGACAATTAACTGACAAGTTGCGACATTTACGTGAAATAGGTCGTTTCTTGAATGAAAAATCAGTAAAATCAGAAATGTACCAAAAAGAGGGCGGCGAAATAAAACGAGGCGAATTAAGAGATTTATTTCGTGGCTGACAAGATAATTTAATCCATCAATAGTTATTTAGATAGCGGTGGATTGATAATGGCCAAAAGAAGTTCTTTCTCATGCGTGTGCAAGAGAATGATATGACGTTTTTTAGCGGACAAAATATCTGAAATGTATCAATCGAGTTTATGCGCTATAAATTGATGTTATGTGCTATACATTGATGTTATGTGCAAATACATCAATGTCATAAACCGATACTCACAAACCGATACTCCCAAGAAATCACATGACAAAAAAAATTTTGCTCCCGCGCGCAAAAGTCCGCCTTATGGAAAACTGGCTTAAAACACAACATCAGGTTTTGTCGCCACAGCGTTTTTGTTCACAGACGTTTTTTGTGGTCTCCTTCGCCCCGGACGTTGAAAACTATAGTTTTGCCTTGCCCTTGGTTTAAAATTTTGAGAAGAAACCCTTATACTCGAAGCTGACTGCGGCACACTGAGACGCATTATTTGATACAGACGAATTATGAGTACGTGGTATCAGTCAGTCGGAAACGAGAAATCAGTTCCTCGGGTAACGATGTGAACTGCTGCACTGAACCACCTTGTGATACTGCGTTCAGTTCTTCACGTGTTTGCGAAGAATGGTGCAAATTGGTCACGGCAACAAAATACCATGCAATATAAAGGGTACAAACGAAATTGTAAAATAAAAGATTCTAAGAGCTAGAAGATATTTGCAATTAAATATTTATTATTTTCCACATTAATAACATAATTAAATATTAGATCTTCTAATTACTTGAATGCCATGAATGAAACAATATCGTCCGGACTTGCCCCTAGTCGTATAAGCACAGCATTTTAATATATTACACTGATATCGAAGGAACTAGACTCAGTTCCGAAATATCACATACTCGAACCAACCTGACCACGTACCTCAGTTGGCAGTATTCCAAAGGTCGTAGGTTCGATTCCCACCGTGGCCAGGCATGTTTTTTAAGCCTGCCCGGTGTAACATCACAAGCATTTTAATATAATTTTGTGTACTGGGCATTCATCGCTTTAACTACGTAGTGGAAAAATGCATATAAGCCAAAACCGCGCCTGCCAGAAAGATCAAGTTTGTTCCCGCAACAGCACTGCCACTGTCTCCAAACAGCATGAAGTCCCTATACAAGCTTTCAGATCTTTGTGCTTGTTGTATAATTAAGGCAGGTCCAGATCGTCCAGGTCTGCTGTGGCTGAGCCGTCAATTCGATAGTGTGACCAAGCTACAGATTGGATTTCTTCTCTGATTATCATGGAACAGTGAAACAGCTCAAACGTTATTGAACATAATATATAGCCGTTGATCTTGACGTCAGAAATGTTGCTATCAGCCAAAAGTAACTGTAACATATGGAAACATATTTTCAGGTAATTACTCAGTCCATGGCAGTGGCGCACATTCACCAAACTGGGCTTCAGTTAGGATGATCTGGGACCGATTTTCTTGTTCTCACTGAGTAGAACAGGCAATTGTGACATGTGGATTAAAGAATTCCGTATAGCAGAAATCGAGACCGTATTTTGATATGGTCTTAAAGAGAACTTCATGAAGTTCATGGGAGAGATGTTTTGTGATTTTCGAACGCTGGGAGTTTTCAAC